TCCTGAGACCAAGTCCTAGGTTCCTGTGTCAGCCCTGACCCCCAAAGTCTGGTGATGGGACTAGCAGGAGTGACCTTTGCACCTTGGCCTGGGAATACTCAAGGCCCTTGCTTCATAGGACCAAAATCTTGAGGGAACTCAAAAGAAAAGGAGAGAAAAGAACTGGAACAGGAGCTCAGAACCTTCCTGAGGGCTGACTGAGGCCCACCACTGACTGCTCCAAGGGGAAGGGGGATTAAGCCTGGCTTAGCTCAGACAATGTGGCAGGGTAGGGGGCCTCAGCACTGCACATGCACCTTAAGAGTCCTTCCCTTCCCCCAGCTCATGATGGAGCTTGTGAGGAGAGTCAGCTAGAGCTAGGGAGGTGGGGGCAGGTGGAGGGAGGGAAGCAGCTGCCTGGGGCCCAATGGGCTGTAGGGCGTTGCCTTCTCTCCTTCCCTCTCCCCAGCACACCCCTTCCTCAGGCCCTGAGGCCCTGCCACCCACCCTGAGCTGCAGATTCTGGGCAGCCAGACTCATACCCCCAGCCCCCACATACTCACATACCCTGGGCCCCATTCCCCACCCTGTGGGCCCAAATTCTTTCAGGCAGCTCCTCCTAGTCCCTCACGACCCTCCCAGACACCCTACCTCAAGCTCTTCCAGGTTCTCTGGCCTAGTGGGCTTAAGGGGTGGGTGCCTGGTAGAAGGCAAAGGTTTCCCTGGGTCTGGGTTTTTCGGCCACTGGATGACTCTTTTGCCCTGTCCCAACCACCCACTCCAAACTTCCTCCCATCACCTCCCTTTTCACCTTGGCCTTCTTGCCTTGTGAAATTCTGGGGAGATTTGAAAAGGGGCCCTCTGGCCATTCCTCACCTTGGCCACCAGGTGTCAGACTTTGTCCAGCTGGGAGGAAGGTCCTAGTTAGTTTCCACCTCATCAGCCAAGGCTTAGAGATCAGGGCAAATTGGGGAGGGGCCTAGAGCAGACCTCTGAACTAGGGAGGCTGAGGGACCCTGAAGGTTGAGGTGAGGAAAAGGCTGGATTTCTGATTCTAAAGCTCACAGTTATTCTCTTACTGCCCCCACCCCCACCCCGCTGACAAGGGCTTTGTCCACTGCTGGGAAATTGGGGGAACCAGGCTGAGTCAGGGAGCTCAAGAATTGAAGTGACAAAGGCAGGGACAGTTGTGGCTCCAGAGAAGGAGGAGCTGAGAGGAAGCCACCCATCAGTGCACTCAGCCAGGCCTGGATCACTGGCCACTGCCCTCTAGGTTGAGGGGAACAAGGGCCTCCCTTGGTCTGTCCCCATTGGGGGTGGCTGTGGCAAGTGGGTGAGTGTGTGTGTGCGTGTAAGATGAGTGCTTAAATGAGTCTCCTAACTTACTGAGGGGGTCTTGGATGTTGGGTCAGTCTTTGCAAAAGTGGGCAACTGGCAGGGTGTACCTACCCTTTTGCCATCCTGCACCAGAGCCTCTTATGCACCCACTCCTATGCCCCTGGAAGTTGTCTCCCGCAAATGACAGTTCTCTAGCTTACACATAGCACACAGACTCTTTTTTTCTATCCTTACCCAAGGATATTATTTCCATTGATTTTTAAAGAGAGTAAAAGGGAAGGGGCAAGAGGGAGAATCAACTATGTGAAAGTTAGACATTGATTGGTGGCCTCCCACATGGGCCCCAGGGCTGGGGGATCGAACCTGCAACCCTTAGGTTCACAGGCTGACACCCTAACCACTGAGAAAACCGGCCAGGGCTGTGCACATCCTCTTAAACACAGGTGTGTTTCCAGGCACCCAAGAGGAAGATGAGATTTCTAATCCATTCTGTGGTATCTGGAGATGATAGAGAGCAGGGCCTTCTCTCCCTCCCTCCCAGTCTCCCTAGCCTTCCTGGGAACAAAAGAACTTCTAGCGATAACATCCTTCCTCCATGACACTGCAGGGCCTCAGGTATTCCAAGTTCTTAGATTGGCCTTTAGATACCTGGGCCCCTGACTGTAAGACCATACTTAAGAGGTGAAACCTAAGATAACCAATAAAAACTCATCACCTCTCCTGAAATAGCCATGGATGGAGAAGCAATGACAAACTCACTCAGAGAAAAGCCTGATAACCTATCATTTACCAGGAGCTACCTGCCCGTTAGTCCACAGTACCAAAACCCAAAGGAGGGGTTCACACCACCAACACCATCAGTAGGGAGCTATTTGGGAGAGAGTTCAAGAACTCAAACTATTCAATGCGCTCTATGACTGGGCTCTCCTCTGCGTCTGCCTCCCCTGCACTGCTCTAGGGTGTACCCTCTGCTTCCTTAGCTGGAGTGAACTCCAGCACTCATCCACCCTCTCCCTTTGCTACCTGCCTGCCTGCACTGTGCTCTGCCAGGCTTGCAGCCACTCAACAGTACTATTTCTAACTCTCCAGATCTCCTGTCCCTCGACTCGCTGCCAGTCCTGCCTTGCTAGTTCTCAGCCTTGGGGAATGCCCTTTCTCCACTCTGCCCCCACCTCTGGGCATCTCTGACTTGCTAGGGACTGTCACAGTCCATGACAAATGGGTTGGTGACAGCAGAGTTGTATTTGCTGATGTCACCTGGTTCCAGGTGGCTGCCCAGCAGCCCTTTTGACTCTCCTGTGTTTGTCCCTGATTCCATCCCAAGTCTCTCTATTCTTCTCCAGCTGCCACCCCTCACGAAACAAATGACACGTTTAGCTCTCTTCTGTTTAAAAACAACAGCAAACCAACCAAACAAACACTTTGTGCTCCTGCTACCCTTTCTAGATATTCCTTTGGCCACCCAACCCCTGAGGGAATATATTTCCCCGTCTACTTTCTTCTCATCATCTCTGTCTTTAATCTCGCAATTTGGTAGCTGCCTCTTAACTGCTCTTGCAAAGGTCACCAGCTTCCTGATTTACCAAAGCCAGTGTATTTTCCCGTATTCCGTCAATTCTGCTGGGGCATCCAACACTGTTGATCAGCTGCCTCCTTCAAATGCTCTTCTCTTAACTTTTAGTACACTATTGTCTGGATACACTTTAAATCAGTTTAAATCAAATTATGGACAACTTTAATTGGTGCCTGGCATTGTGCAAAAATGCTGTAGGGGTGCAAAAATGAATAAATCACTGAGCCTGCCCTCAAGATGCTACCTGCTTAAAGAGGAGACAGACACACTTAACTATCCTTTGCCCTGCCCATCCTCCAAGAATGGTGTCAAATCCCACCTTCTGTATTTATGCAAAAGCACTTACTGTGTGCAAGGCACTGGAAATACAGCAGTGATCTTAGCCCCTTGCCTCCCTTCTAGGGCTCTCAGACTAGCAGAGCCCTCACCCACTGGGAGCAATCACTCCTTCCTTGATGTCCATAGTGTTTTTCCTGGGCCTTTCTGCACTTCATTAAATTCTACCTTGGATTCTAGCATTTGGGGGAAGGGGGATCCTAGTCCTTTTTCCAGACTTTTGTTCAGCACACTAATTGAACACTGTCTTTGGGCTGGAGCCTGAGCTGGGTGCTGAGATAGACAGATGGGGAAGACTCAGAATCTGCCCCCCAAAAGCTCACAGTACAATAGTGTGGGACATCTCTGCCTTCTCCCTGTATTTTGTATAGCTGTTTGCTTGGTACCTTACATATAACAGGCTGCTACTCATTTGGCTCTGCATGGAGACAGCTCAGATGCCCTCTTCTTTCCGTCTTGTTAGGCAGGAGGCAGGGCCATGCCTGGGCAGATTTCTCTACCTAAAGAGCCTGGACCCCTCAGGGTGGGCATGTTCCCTCCAACTTGGGCCAGGTGACTCAGGGACATTCAGCAGAGCCTGGCTTGCCCCACCCACAAGCAAATCCAATAGCTCCTGCACCTACATTCTGGCCTCTCCCTTTTCCAGTGGCTCATGCACTTGTGGGGACCGCCCAGTGTGTATCACATGTGTATGCTTTTGTTCCTTATCGTTTCAGATAAGCTGATCTCTTCCCAAAGAGATTGATTGCAGGCTCCATAGGGGCACGAGCCAAGTTACATTTGGACTTCTTTTATATTTCCTACACCAGTTAGCACAGTGATAGGCAGGTAATGTCTTTAAAATATTTGTCAACTGATTGACAGCACCATCACTTGTTACTTCCTTCACTTAGGGCACTTTCTCCAGGGCCCTTGTGTTACCTGGGAGCAGTAAGCCCATTAATTTACCCAGTGGCTCTTCCCCAGTGTCATGATGCATCATATGCCACAAGTGATATGCCGCTGCAGCCCCGCATCTTACCTTTATTTTCTCTTATCCTTCCCAACAATGTAATAAGGGTATTTAATATCCCCATTTTACAGATGGGGAAACTGGTAGAGAGCTTTAAATCCTTTGTCCAAGATCACTCAGCTCATAGGTTATGAAGTTGAAATTTGAGCTTAGGCCACCCCTTGAACAGCATCTCTCCTATTCACTTGTAGTCCAATGCGTTTTTCTCTTTCCCACTAATCTGTCTTACATTGGAGAGAAAAGAGTAGTCACAGCGGAAAATCATGACTTGGCTGTAGTCTCTCGCACTCCCAGCAGATGAAGGGCATTGAGAAGGTGAGGGTCACTGCTGGGGAGGGGCCCAAAGGCAGCCACAGGTGGGGGTTCTGGGGAAACTGAGGACTGAATGTGTGCGCTGACCACTTGGAGAGAGCACTGGAGGAACAGATAAGCTGCTTTGCAGAGAGGCAGACCTATGAGACCATTAAAGTAATCCAGAGAGGCAAGGTGACTGAGCAAAGGCTGGGAGCAGGAAGATGAGCGACGGAGAATGCATTTGGGAGAACTAAAGGAGTATGGCGTTGATGGGGACAGTGAAGTCTGCTGTGTACACATCTTTCCTGACAGAATGCACAGAGCCTCTTTCCCAAGCTCTTTGCATCTCCAGAGCTCACCTTTGGGCTTTTAGGCTCTCCCAGCAGGCATGGCAGCCAGGGGAGGGGCAGGGCCAGGAGAACCAGTAATGAGAGCTAGGAAGAGGGGCAGGGCCAAGCGAAGAGACGCTTCTGGGGCAAGCATTTTATTTGTTAATACAAGAATAGAAATTTTGCAATAAATATAATCTAATAAATAACATCTCCAAATAAATAAATATTAATACAACAAACAGAGTCATGAGTGGTTGGGGCTGGGGTGCAGGGCCTGGGGGAGCTGCCCCACACACCCCGAAATGCTACTGCAATGTAAACTTTCAGGAAATCCTGTGGCTGTGGCTATGGCTGCCCTCCCCAGGCTAGGCAACCCACAGATACCCTGGGAAAGGGGGTGGAGAGGAGGCACCATGATGCTGGCCAGAAAATTCGAGACAAGGTCCTTTGGTTGCCACCCTGTGCCACAATTACCTTGGTGACCCCTGGGTCTGGTCTGTCCCTGCCCCTCTGCTTTCAGTATTACCTCCCATGAAGACCTCACCTCTACCATTTTCATCCCATCTCTTCCTGTCTGGACTTGCCACTGTGTTTGTTTCCTGAATTGAACGTATGATGTTAACTGGGGGTAGGGGAGCAACACCCCTCTAAGGAGAACGGGACAGCCGAGGGCTTCACCGGAGAAAGGCACATGCTGTGGTGGCCCCTCCCTGACTTCCAGGGATGCTTATGGGAAGTGCCACCTGAGGGGCTGTTTGGGCACTGGCAAGTGGTGGGTAAGAAGCAGGAGGCTACGAGAGCCTGTACACCAACCCGAACCACTTTGGCTCCCTTGAGCATTACTTCCTGTAGAAATGGGGTGGGGCCTATTGCACCTCTTCCCCAGACCTGCAGAACTTTGGGAAGTAGGGAGGAGATGGGTCTTATTGCATCATGCCCTCCTCCAAGTCCGGGAAGGGCCAGAGGCTCATAGCTTCTGTCTCCTGGCTCACCAAGTGTTGGCATACAGGTTTCTCCTTCCCAGAGTGGAAGCAGGGTTGGAAGGGGGAGGGTGGTAAAGGTCAAAGATCAGAAGCCATGGGCCTCCAGGTGCAGAGTGACCGCAGCTGCTGGAGGCTGCATCTTCTTCTTGAGCCGGTTGAAGTCCTTGGCTGAGCGCCACAGCCAGGTCTGCAGCTCCTTCAGCAGCCAGAAGTCATCCATCTTCTGGAGGAAGTCACTGTGGGCAGGGCCAGGGGCCCAGGTGGGCTCAGTCCCAGGCAGAGGCTGGGGCAGCGGGTAGCCCAGAGCTGCCATGACACCCGCAATGCTGCCCAGCAGGCCCTGGAGGCTGGTGCAGAAGTGGGCCAGGCTGCGGCGCAGCTCAGCTGCAGCAGCCTGGCGGTTGAGGCCACGCAAGTGGCACAGAAGGTGGCTATAGGCCTCGTAGTTCTGGGTCAGCCGCAGTTTGTCATTGAGGCTTCGCCAAACTTCCAAGTTGACAGTGGCCCTGGGCAGAGTCTCTGCCCCCAGCCGAGGTGGGTTGAAATCAGGCTCGTTGAAAGGGGGGCCCAGGTAGTTCAGCTGTGGAAAGGAGAGGGCGATGGGGAAGGAGGAGGGCAAAGCAGCTGGCTCACCGCCACCAGGAGATACCTGTCCCCAAAGCTGCTATTTCCTGTGTCCCCTGACACAGGCCCCATCTCCATGCTAGGTCTCTGTTCACAGGCCAGCCCTAAGTTTCTCCATGGATGTCGTTTGCATGGAGCTCACAGCTGAAACAATGAGGGTACTGAGTTCTCCTAGAGCGAGGTGTAGAATGAGAAAAGCTGAGCAGCAGTACTCAGGGAGGACTCGCCAACTGGCTGTGCGTGCAAGCCTCGGAGAGGGCCCACCTGCCCACCGGGAGGCGGGCGGAAGAGGAAGAGGAGCCCTGGGAACCCAGGAGGCCAGGCTGCAGAGGCAGAAGGTGGATCAGGAGAGTGCAGAGCCAAGAAGAGTTCAAGAAGGCAGCAGTGCTCAACAGTGTGGCTGCAAAACAGAGCGAGAGTGAGCCTTAGAAAATACTGTAGGGTTTGGCAAGGAGGAGGTGCCTGACAACCTTGGAGAGGATCCTTTCAGTGGCCTGGAAGCCAGATTGCAGGGGGTTAAAGAGTGAGTGGGTGGAGAGGAAGTGGAGGCAGAGGGTGTAGACCACTCCTTCGAAAAATTTGGCAGGGAAAGCCAGGAGAGAAAAAGGGTCGGGAACTAGAGGGGGTAGCAGAGTCAAGCAAAGGTTTTCTGGACAGGAAAAGGGGGTTCAAAGGTAGAGGGGCCTGTGGGCATCGGAGCTCCATTTGCCTCTTGACATGCCCAACCCCACCAGCTGAAGGGCTGAGGCCAGAGGTACACACTAACCCCCAAGGAAGGGCTTGGCCCATAGGAGCAGGACGGCAGAAGGAAGAAACTGAGGCAGTCTCAGGAGTGGGCTGGAGGAAGGGCATGGAAGTCAGTCTAGGGAGAAAGACAGACCTGCTAGCCCCGGGGGAGAGCCTGGGGCCCAGGGAAAGGGCTGAGGGGGACAGTTCAGCTGGGAGAAAAGGGGAGCAGAGAGGGGCGAGGCCTGGGATAGGCAAGGGCCCAGGGGGAGGCTCACACGCTGACAAGCACAGAGACAAACTAATTTCCTCGGTGTATCCTGGGGCTGGAGCCAGCTCCCCCGCCACCCTCCCCCCTTTTCTTTCCCTGGCTCCAGAGTAGGGTCTGGGATGTAGAAGAGGAACACGGGAAGAGGGGGCCAGTTCCCGGTGGTCCCCACTAACTCTGACCCTCCTTCCTCCTCTCCTGGGCTCTCTGAACACCTCTGGACTGCCCCCAAATTCTTATGGCAGAACTTCAATCCACACCCTGAGCCCCCTGCCACTACTGGCCTGGGTTCCCTGCAGCCCCCTTCCCACAAGTCCCCCGTAGGAGGCCCAGCTAGGATGGGAGAGGCAGAGAGAAGGAAGGCCCATGGGTCCAGAGCAGCAGGGCCCCAGGTCTGGGGCAGAGGCGAGCTGGAACACAGGCATGGGAGGTGGGGCCCCTCCATCCCCACCCAGCCCCACCCCTGCAAGAGACACCACAACACGGTGTAAACAGAGGAGACTTCCCCGGCCCCCAGGGGGAGGCGGGCGGCTGGGCAGTCAGCCAGTGGGGCAATGGGCCAAGGCGGGTGCGAGGCCTGCCCACATGCCTAGTCCTGGGGCCAGGGATGGGGAGAAAGGGGCACCCTAGAGGGAAGGGCAAGAGGTAGGCCAGACATGGAGACTGCTTGGAGCCAAAGGTCCCCTCTTCATCACCCCACATTCACCAGGACCCCTCTGCCATTCTGCCTCTTCCCCCAACTCCTCATTCTTCACCCAATTCCCAGACCCCTGAGCTGCCCTAGATACTCACGTAGGTCCCAGCCAAGCTGCGGAGCTGGTGTTCCAGGTAGCGGGTGAGGTCATAGGTTTTCTGGATGGAGGGACCAGGCCCTGGGTCCCCTGTGCGATTGAGGGCTGGCACTGCAGGAAGGTGCCAGAGCACGGTGCACAGGCAAGCTAGCATCCCCCACGAGTCCCCTGTGGACAGGATGGGCAAGAAGCATGAGGGTGGGCCTGGCCTGGAGGAGGAGGCAGCTGGCAGCCCCTCAGGTGTCTGTCCCCACCTTAGGCTGGGAGGGAAGGG